TGTGTGTGTGTGTGTGTGAGACGTTCATCAGACTGAATAAAAAATCTAACAAGTGTTGATATTGTCCACAATAATGTTTACACTGTAGAATGCATTGACAGGATGCCATGAGGATATGGCACTGGTTTTCTTTACAGTTGAAGTGATGCATGTAAGAGAATTTCCACACTGAGCAATGTGGGCAGGTGAAACACAGATCCTCTCCCCTTTCAGTGGTCTGAGTATGAGACACATACACGTCAGTAAGGATGATTAATGAGAAATGATTTTTATTGATTGTAGCCTGCATTTACCAGCATTCATGTGGGTCACTGAGGAGATCAATTCTGAGGGTAAATAGACAGAAAAAAGATGTAATCAAGGCAAACCAGTGTCCTACAACTGCTTCCAACTGGTGACTTTGCTACACTCTGTGGAGAAAGGGTTTTCTGGAACTACCAATTATAAGTAGAGAGCAAAAATAAAGTTTTAAAATGTACAAATGGAAACACTTAGCACAACGCTCAGATGGTTCGTGACGGTACATTCTGAAACAGATGGTGCCACATCAAAATAAATAAGACTTGCATGCTGACAACACAGCAAGATGACTGATGTTATCCTGCAGAAATAAGGGAATTGTTTTGCATTAACATACAATGCCGTGTCACATAATTTTGGAATTTGCGTCACCACATCTGTAAAGCTGGTTGGCTGACACAATCAGCTCAATGTTTGTGTCAGAATCGAGCCCCTCCTCTTATGCCAGTGTTAGCTAATATAAAAACTTCCATAGAAAAAAGAAGTCAGCACAAAGCAAGAAAATATAAATATAAAATAAGTGAATAAATACATAAATAATTTCCCTGAAATAATAATGAACACAAACATCAGGGCGGCTGGGCTGTGGATAAGATCACATCATGTGTGAGAGAATTGAGGAGTGATCATCACAGGGGCCGATCACTCAGACCCCTCCACTCATAAACACACACAATACAAACGTGTTTCATATGAGGTGAGGAAAAGTAATAAAAATCTGCTTTATATATAACATGGCAAACCCATGATCTGAACTTAATGGGAAGCATTAACTGGGATGAAAGTATAAAACCGTTAGAAAAGTTTAGGATATCATTTTTCAAATATGGAAACTTTGCATGTACACTGCAAATGCTACAAAACAGGAGCTTCATGCTTTTGACAACAGTCCAACATGTTCTCACAGTGGTCAAATGTGACTTCCCCCGGTGCATGCAGGTTTGTATTAAGAAAAAAACTTGTGCATGATCTGTAAATATGTCAAAAACCACACCCGTGTTCAAAATGGGCAGATCGGGTCTACTGTACTCCCTTAAGAAGGGACAAGCCTTGCATTCTCCCTCGATAAGCAGAGGGGATGCAATTGCTAAAATGCAATACTTGGCAAATATGAATCAGGATTGGCTACTGAACATGAGGTGCAGTAGTGGATCTGATGCAAACTGTAAAAAACAGAACTCTTGGAAAATTCATGAGAATAAAATCAGGTACAACGCTGTAACTCAAGAGTGTGAGAACCACTCGATAACCACAGGCAGTGGTTTAGGGTTACGAAGCCAGCATGCCACTCAGGTCTCCTTGATGAAAAAGTGAGTGATATATCGGTCATCACCTCTCTGCCGATGTTTCCAACGGCTGTATGTAAAACATTGTTAGCACTGGCACTTACTGCTCGATAATACTGAGCATGTTGAGAGGGGTGTAATGGTCTGTCTACAGACCCTCTGTCTCGTCTGTCCCTTCTCAGCAAGCCCAAACTGTGCAGCTCAGAAAACAAACATTGCAAGTCCACACACATACAGGATGACCCCAGTAACTATAGAGCAGGACACAAATGAAGATGTGATGGAGAGAAAGTGGGCGGCGGCTGACATCATATCAGGAGATGAGGGGTATTTCTTGTCTCCTGTTTCAGTCAGGCAGAAAATCCACCGGTTCCTCAGACTGGGGCTCCGTGATCCCTGGAGATAGGGGTTGGGTTGAGGCTGGGGGCAGGAGTTGGCTGAATAGCTGCTTGTGTCAAACAGCTGACAGTTGTGAGGGCTTCAGTGCGGGCAGATCAAGCAGAGCCTGGACGGTCATGCCCACCTTCACCAGGCCGCGCTCTTCTAGGATGTGATGGGGCAGGCACAGCTTGTCCTGAGTTCACAGAGGCATTAAAGAGAGACAGCAAAAACAAACAGACAAAAAAAAGTTCAGACAGCTTCGCCTCTCTGACATAATACTGTTGGTAATCCACGAAAAGCAAGTAAGAGCAGGGCACACTTTCAAAATATGCAACCAATACATCACACCCCCTCCAATTGGCCCTTGTCAATTTTCTGGTGGCTGGCTGCAACATAAAACATGCCTCCTCCGTGTTAGTGGATGGAAAATGGACAAAACTAAAAAGTAAAGTAAACATCAAATAAAAAGATGATTTCTGTCATTTTAAGTTGTTCTTTTCATGTATCAGCGGGAACCCAATCGGCACAAGATGGCAGGGTTCGTTTCCAGAATATTTTTCTTCAAACTAGATAATAATCATATATATCATCACTCATCCTAAAACAAACATTAATGAACAGAAATACGATGTAAAGCTGTGATTACAATGCAAACAGTCTTTCTGATTACCTGTGTAACACCCAGCTTCTTACAGGCATCCAAGAAGTTCTCCACATTCCTACGGCATTTAGCCATGCTCAGTTTTGGCTGGAAGTCATGTTGGTAAATAAAAGCAAAGTAATAACTTCCATTAACTACAAATAACTGCAAAAAAATGCAGATGACAAAGTAGTATAACTATTTCTAACTGAAAACTGAGTTTGAATGTGCTTACCACTGCAGGCGACGGCACATGGATGCTGGCGACAGACCGAGGACAAATGTGATTGGCTAAATGGCAGAGGACGACTCCATCCATCAGAGCGGCTCCAACGTCATCTGGGAGCAACACCTTGAGTCTGGACTCAATGTTCTGTGAGTTCACAAAACAATATTACTAATGTAAATCATGCGAGAGAAACTGTTTACGTGACAGGAAATATTATTTTCGATTTTCCAGAAACATTAGCTGTGAGAAAATAAACTCTAATGTGTTTAATGGAGTTAAAAGTATTTCCATTTAACCATGTATAGAAAGTAAATGTGCCAAAGTGCAAAACACATGTTTCCTGCAGCTAAAAGTAGAATATTATTTGAATTGATGACATCTCCTGAGCTGCAGTTGTGCATTCTTCCTGCAAGACAACCAGTGGTTCAGTCAGTGTGGGGGATGTCTTCTTCAAACTTGATAATAATCTTAGATATAACAAAATCTATACTGACCTACTTAAACTCTATTCAACTGACTAGTTCTATCAATTTGTTGTAGTGGAACAATCTTCAATAAACTTCCTCATTCCAACTATCTCAAGAGCTTTCAAGAGTAATCCAGTACAGAAATCTGAGCAGGAAGATGGTCACCACTTGCCTCCTTGATCTTTCTATAGCCTTGAACTGACTCTTTGTCAGCTGTGAACACCGTTCATTTCGCCTCCAGTCAAGAATCCTGGCTCCTTCACTAATATGTAATAAATGCATTGGTTTCATAGAGCGTAGGGATTTTTCAGCCACAGTAGCTGAGAAACGTAATGTGGCTTCAGCTCTACAGCTTGTTTTAATTACTGGGAGACAGATATTTCATAGGTACCTCAGATAATGGCTATAAATGTGACATGCAGTTTCAGACCTTGCAGGTAAATCATGAGACTTATGACACAATGGTTCTGGGTTCAAATCCAAATGCCTCTCGCGCACTCCAAAAAGATGCCTGTAAGATTTATTAGCTGGATCGGTTCCATTCACCCTGTAACCTTGAGGTGAGGCAGCACAGTTCAAAGATTCATGTTTTATAGCAGCCAAGTGCAGCACTTTTTAATGATCAAATAATAATCAAAATGATATCCTGAAAAAGACATAATACCACACTGTCTTTTGTTCCTTCATTTCACACAGCAGGTGTTGAAAGAGGGCAGCGAGGAATACAAGCTGGTGTTTGAACAGCATCCCACTTCCTGTACTTTACTTTCCTCAGGTATATCAAGGCATGT